ATTAAATTACGTGCACACAATTGCACCCAATCCATCACAACAACACTGTCACATAACAAACACGCGATCAACACACAAATCGGCATTTTTCCACACCCAAACATTGTCAAATCAATTCCGGCCCTTCACGGCACTTTCCCGAAATCTCGAGCCGGACCTAACGGTACCAATCACGCATCGAACAGCACACCACAGCACCTCGAACAGCCATTCACTGCCAACACTCGGCCTCTAAAATTCCTCCAAAAATTCCCGAATTCAATCCTACGGCCCATTATTCAAACCAGCCCTTAATTTCTACCAACTCGCGTCTAAACGGGTCCGAAAATACCCGATAAACTAGGCGAGGTTTAGATCGCGACTTACCCGACTCTAGACTCACGCGGCTAGAGTGAAACGGGCGGCGATCGACGGCGATCTTGCGGCGGCGGCGACGTACGGCTCACGGCGGCGGGCGAGCGGTGAACGGCGGACGGCGGCGGCTTGGGCGTGGCCGGCAAGGCTCACGGCCGAGAGAGAGAAAAATCGAGAGGGAGAGGGGGAAACGGCGGCTAGGCAGCGTGAGGCTCGGCGGTCGGCACGGCGGCGCGGCAAGGCGGCGAGCGGCACGACGGGAGGGAGAGACGGCCGGAGGGAGGAGAGCTCACGGTTGGGGGGGGGGGGAGATTTTCGGTGGGGAGAGAGAGAGGAGAGAGAAAATGGGTCAAGGCTTAAATAGTTCAATTTTGACCCAAAATGGCAAATGACCAAAATACCCTTCTTTCTACTTTTCATCCGACGGTCCAGATTCGATCTTATCTTGAAATCGACGGCCCAGATCGAATCTTTCCTAAAATATCCAAGGGCAATCTTGGAAGTTCTCAAAAAGTCGAAGGGCAAAATTTTCTTTTCCAAATTTTAGGGCAAAATTACCAAAATGCCCTTGCCCATTATAACTAACCCTTTATAAGATCTTAGGGGTAAAATGGTCACTTTCCCATTTTCTTGTCGAATTTGAATTTTTCTGAAGGATTCGGGAACATCCAAAATTGCACGTTCCAATCGCAACGTCGTCCTAACGTTCTGCCGTGACTTCCTAATTTTCCGATTCCCGATTTGGTCTCAATTTAATAATTGAATTCTATATAATGTAACTTGTGCGTATCTCAGACTAACGGGCGGCTTTTGGGAAAATTCGCAGAATCGACCCGTGACTGATACTAAATCAAGTCACGTGCAAGTTCGTTAAGATCGTGACGACCTCGGTTGTCAATAAAATCGCGAGGATCGATCGCTAGTTCCGATGGGCAAGATCGTTCGGTATAGGTTCTGGATCGTTCGTCAATTCATTTCGTGGTTAAACGGAATCACCCGTGATCCACTAGTGTGATAGTGACGAATCGGCCCTTCACTATCCTAAGATCGGCCCTCGTTGGCTCAAAATGTCACCTCGACGATTTTCTGATCGAAAGTCGGTTCACGATTGAATCTCTTTAGTCGTACGAATTTAAATCCCTAATTAGCCTTTCCCTAATGGTCAGTATCCCAGGAATGATCAGTTCCGGGCGAGAACCAACTACAAGTACATTAATAAAATCAGTCATTTCATAAATCTCAAATGGGCGGAATTTCGGAATGTCACACGTGTCAATGTTAGATTCGAGACAGAGAGAGACTACGGATCGATACGATTCCGACTTGTGCATCATCGATTGATCAAATCGCTTGAACAGGTTGAAATTCGATGGAGGAGCAAGGCTTGGAGGTAGAGAAAATCGTCTGATCTATTGATGATGATGGCTATGGAATAGTCAACTTTGGATTTGAATGGGAATGTAGCTGATTAAATTTAGTTCATGGAGCTTATTAAAATTGTTTGATCTGTTCTTCTCTCCTCGTTTCTGGGGTTCTTTAACCACTCCTAATTTCCTCAATTTGTCTATTTCGGTTCCTCTTCGTTGTACGATTCAGCATATGGCAACATATGCTACCACAGCTACATAATCTAAAAATGCTGTGCGCGGGTGTTAAACGAACCGAAAGGCTTTCCATAGTTCCATTTTGATTTGAGGATAGTTTTCATATTTCCAGTATCGTCCCAACAAGCTCGGAGTTACAAAAATGAGGAAAACCAAAAAGCCCCGGAAGCGAAATTTCTTCTGTCCTTTCAAAACTTTCACAGTTGTTGTTGCTGTAATTTATAGGATCTTGATGTAAATTGTGAACAAACTTTCGAAACAAAGCTCCAAACAAATCGCTAGCATGAAATCGGCTCAATCGGTTTGACTTGTTCATCCAATTTTATTCGGTCAATTCACAATGGTCCAACTTCAACTCATTTTAGTCTATAAGGTTGTGACTAATGCTGTATATGCAGTCAAACACAAAAGCCGTTGCCCTTTGGATTAAATTGCCAGGGCACTGGTTAAGCAACTAAGGAATCAAATTGCACGGTCAAATACGTTGACTTGCCACTTTTTGTGTGTTAATCCTAATCAATATTTTGAAAATTAAGTTATTTTATGCTAAGTATGTTTAACAAGTGATTTGACTCATTAACATGGCCAGCATTATATATGGCTTTAGTACTAAAAAGTAGACAACAAGCTTATCAGACTAAGAGTATACCTTGCGAATAGCTTTTAACTACTAAAATTCCATTACTGTAGTCCAATTCTTGGTGGGGGAATATCTGAGAGTGACCCCAAAGAACTTGCTTCAATTGAAACTCGAATGCTTGTCCGATGACCACAATTTGGCGCAGCAAAGTCAAAGAATTAACCAATTAGATGACCCTTCGAAATTTTTCATTCAAACCAAATGAGTACAAATTCTGAGAGGGGCTATTTTCACCCTTCCACTGTAGCCAAACGCCAAAGAAAATTCGGTTTCAAGTACCGAAAATGTATGGCTGTGCCTCTTCTGCTTTATAGATTCATGCATAAATAAATCAAGTTTGAAAATTATATGACTAAAGTGATTGAAAAATGCCAATATATAAATTTTTCCAACATAATCAGATCAAAGAGATGATTGTATGCTGATGAACACTCCTATTTTGCGTTCAAAATTCTTCCAAATGAGAAACTTCCGTCATATTGGAAACCTTTTCGTTGAAACTTGTGGCTACAATTGACATATTATTTGCTGATTCCATAACATTCACTTTTTCCATGAAAAAAGTTTCTTCCAGTCACAAGATTGTGGCTTGAAGTGGACATCTAAACGGTAATCCAGTTAAAAAAAGTTTGATTTTATGCTTAACTTCACATACCGAACCACCTGCACATGCGGCTTCTGCAAGCATTTTGAGATTCGGCCAAAGCCAAAAAATAGCACGATTCAAAGCTTGCAAACGATGACTACAGACCATGAGAAGAGGTCGTTTTATGTCAAGAATTCTATGAAGAATGTTAACAATACACAGCACATGATAAAAGACAATATTGAAGTAACTTTGGAACACCATAACATGGCTCATGCCAGCCCGCATCTCCATCCTGTGTTGTTTTGAGACTTTCTCTAAATTTCATGAAATGCAGCTTGAATCTACCCAAGAAGGATGGGATTAACTAATTATCAATAAATGGAGATATTTGAGATTGTAGCATGACAATTTACCCCATGGAGGATAAGGTACAAATGCATAAACATCATTTCACCAATCGCAGGTGTACCGCAATGAACAAAGACTTTGTTAGCTGGCCAATGAAAAAGAAAACAACAAGCTTCGGAGAAGTAAGCAATTAGCAACACTTTCCTTGTTTGTGTATAAAAACAAAATTTTTGTTAAAAAGATTATGCTGAAAAGGTAAAGTGCAACAAAAGATGTAATTGTTACTTGGTTATTTTGCAGTACCCAATTAGCAAGATCAGCAATATGCAATAGTTTCCTAGGAGGTGAATTTGAACTTTACAAATTCAACGTCGCATATGTGAAAACCGAGCTTATCAAATCAGAAACCTATATGACAACATTCAAAGGATATTATCACACTAATAAACTGATAGAAAATCGAGGAGATTGTCATCATGCATCCTTGTATACTAATTTTCAGGTGAAATCTACAGCTCAGATAGTATAAGCACAGGAGTTAGTCTTTCATAGTTATGGTACGACTGGCAGTGCATACCCCCCTCTGCAGAGCCTCATCAAGATCAGGAGTGATATCATTACAACGCAAGTGCATCATACAACTCTGTATCAAGGTAACATACAGAAAAATCAGCTGGTACGTATTTGATTAATAGAGGAAGAACCTAACAAGCATACAGAAAGTAGATTCAATTGATAAAACTACACTCACAAGCATTCAGGAATGTGCTGTTGAGACCAGTTCAGGTGTTGGATCTTCCCAAGCATCAAAACTTCCTCAGTACAATCCGGTTGGTCCACGAGCCTCTTCAAGGTTGGCACACAAGATGGCCCTCAGCTGTTGCTGATTCTTCCTCTGCAAAATTCCCCTTCATTTTGATTGGGCTCTGGTATGAAACTTGAAGTTCCTTTACCAAGTTAGCCAGACCCAGATCAATCATGCAATAAAATGATTCCATGACAACAATAGTATCAAAGGGTATGAAAACTAATTAGCAAATTATTGAGCTCCTCGCCCCAGCTTGTTTCACAGAACGGGCAAAATGTTGTCCCAATTATGCACAAGATTATCGATACAACTCATTGAATTTGAGTCCCAAAGTAAACCCCAGTCATTACATTTTGATCTTGGCTGAAGCATCATGTCAGCTTCTATGACCAACTCCCCCACTCCTTCAATTATGTAAGACTAGCAATTTAGGAAAGTACAGAACCCTGTCATGGAAAACCTTCTCGTCAAAAGAAGATAGTGATGAAAAGTAGGTCATGAATTTCAGAAGAAAAATTATTTTTCACTGCTTATTTACCTCTGTTGAGGAGATGTGACTTATGCTGAACTTACACATATAGAACCACCTGCACATGCGGTCTTCCTGCAAGCAAGTTGCGATTTGGCCATTGCTGAAGAATGGCACAATGCCAAAGCTTGCAAAGGACTAAAACACCACATGAGAAGAGGTCGCCTTATATCAAGAATCCTTTGAAGAGTATTAACAACACGGAGCACATGATAAAAGCCAATAGCAAGGAATTTTGGAATGCCTTTCCACAATGACATGGCTCATTCTTGCCCGTATCTCCATCCTGTGGTGTTTGGGGACTATCTCTGAGTTACAAAAATACAGCTTGAATCTACACAAGAAGAATAGCACTGACTAATTATCAGTAAATGAAAAAAACTGACATCATAGCATCAAAATTTAACCCATGAAAGATAAGATACAAATTCCTAAACATCATTTACGCCAATCGTAGTTGGACCAAAATGAACAAAGACTTCATTAGCTGGCCGATGAAAAAGAAAACAACTGACTTGGGAGAAGTAAGCAATTAGCAACACTTTCCTTGTTTGTGTTTAGGAACAGAATTGATGTTAATAAAATTATGTTGAAAAGGTGAAGTGCCTAAACTACGGAATAGAAAGACGTATTTGTTACTTGGTTATTGGCAATATCCAATCAGCAAAATCACCAATACGGGATAATTTGCGAGGAGGTCAATTTTAACTTTACGAATTCAATGCCGCATACATGTGAATTGAGCTTATCAAACCAGAAACCTATATGACAACATTCAAAGGAAATTATCACACAAATAAACTGATAGAAATGGAGGAGCCTATTAGTGCATACCTCCCTGCAGAGCCTCATTGAGTTGAGGAGTGATATCAGTAGAATGCAACTGCATCAAACAATGCTGCATCAGGGTAACAAACAAAAATATCAGTGGCCACGTATTTCATTGACAGAGAGGTAGAACGTAATGAGCATACAAAAGCATATTAAATTTGAAAAACTACATTTACTATCATTCAGGTATGTGATGTTGAGACCAGATCAAGTGGTTTGGATCTTCACAAGCATCAAAACTTCCTCAGGACACTCCAGTTAGCCCACGAGCCTCTTCAAGGTTAGAACATAAGATGGTGCTCAGCTGTTGCTGATGCTTCCTCCGCAAAATCCCATTTCTTCATTTTGATCGGTCTCGGGTATGGAAGTTGAAGGTCCTCAGCCAAGTTAGCCACACCCAAATCAATCATGTGACAAAACAATTCCATGACAACAATAGGATCATATGGGATATAAACTGATTAGCAAATTCTTGAGCTCCTCGCCCCAGCTTGTTTCACAGACGGGCAAAAAATTGTCCAATTAGGCAAAAGGTCATCAATACAGCTTATTGAATTGAAGTCCCAAAGTAAGCCTTGATCATCACATAAGACCAACCAAACCTGTCATAAAAGTAGCACTGGTTTACCTTGCTTGATAATCTTTCAAAACAACAGTGTGACTACTGACAATGTTAAGGTGGTCTATAATCATATATGATAGACTTGCAAAAAGTAATTTTACATTTTTTTTATCACCAACCTGAAACACTTGAACCTTGAATTTTATTTTACCTTGGCTCTTCATAGTTACTGGGAATTGATGCCCTTCTTAGAAGGTTTAAGGGTAACATCAAGGGAACAATAAGAAACTTGACAGGGTTTTTGTTCATCACTGAAAATTTAAAGGTGTTTGTCCCCAAAATCAATCAAATAGATACCCAGTGTGGAGCAAATCGTTCTTAAAAAATAGAGCTTCAAGAAAGGTATTTACTCTATTCCCTCACGCTGGCCGTTCAAGGATGAAGAATCTTACTAGATGACCAATGCCTTCTATTGACATTTGGGTCTACATTTTGATCTTGGTTGAAGCATCATGTCAGATTCCACGACCAACTACCCTGCTCCTTCAATTATATAAGACTAGCAATTCAGGAAAGTGCAGAACCCTGTCATGGAAAACCATCTTGTCAAAAGAAGATAGCAATGAAAAGTAGGACATGAATATTAGAAGAAAAATGATAGTTTACTGATTATTTACCTCTGTCATAAAAACATGACTTGTCTCACTGTTGGCACGCAAGATGGTCCTCAGCTGTTGCTGATGCTTCCTCTGCAAAATCCCTTTTTTTCATTTTGATCGGTCTCAAATCTGGAATTTGAAGTTTCTCAGCCAAGTGAGCCACACCCAAATCAGTCATGTGATAAAAAAATTCCATGACGATAATAGGATCAAATGGGATGTAAACTAATTAGCAAATTCTTGAGCTCCTCGCACTAGCTTGTTTCACAAATGGGCAAAAAATTGTCCAATTATGCAAAAGATAATCAATACAGCTGATTGAATTGAAGTCCCAAAGTAAGCCTTGATCGTTACATAGACCAACCAAAACTGTCACAGAAGCAAGCACCAGTTTACCTCACTTGATAATATTTCAAAACAACAGTTTGATTACTGGTAATGTTAAGGGGGTGTACATTCATATATGACAGACTAGCCAAAACTGCTTTAACACTTTTTTTTTTATCACCAACCAGAACCATTTGAACCTTATATTTTATTTTAGCTCAGTTCATCATACTTACTGGGAATTGATGCCCTTCTTAGAAGGTTCAAGAGCAACATAAAGGGAACATTAAGAAACTTGACGGGGTTTTCGTTCATCACGAAAAATCGAAAGGCATTTGTCCCAAATAGGACATATGCCATTAGTCAAATTTGACACAAGACAACTCACAAAGGAACTCAAAATGGCCAAGGATTTTTTCAAAGAAAATATGAATTTTGGATAGGGAAAATCTGGGCATAGTTTACAATATTGAGTAGCAGAAGACCATTAGCCTCTAGGTGAAAATTTCAAATCCCAAGTTTACAAAGAGGGAAACTGTAAATCACTAGGGAATTCTTGATTACCTGTGTTTGATATTTTCACCCTTGCCTCACAAGCAGCTAATCTGTTTGTAGTCTACAAAAGCTGCCAATGGAAGGATAAATGAAATACATTGCCACAACATATCGAACAGCAATATATGTAGGCAAATCCAGAGTTTCCAAAATCAATCAAATAGATACCCGGTGTGGAGCAAATCATTCTTAAAAAATAGAGCTTCAAGAAAAGTATTACTCTATTCGCTCATGCTGGCCGTTCAAGGATGAAGAATCTTACTAGATGACCAATGCCTTCTATTGACATTTGGGTCCCCATTTTGATCTTGGCTGAAGCATCATATCAGCTTCTATGACCAACTCCCCCACTCCTTCAATTATGTAAGACTAGCAATTTAGGAAAGTACAGAACCTGTCATGGAAAACATTCTTGTCAAAAGAAGATAGTGATAAAAAGTAGGTCATGAATCTCAGAAGAAAAATGATCGTTCACTGCTTATTTACCTCTGTCGAGGAAACATCAATCACTCTCTGTTAAGGAATCATCACAGCATGAGTCGTAAGACAGCTCTTCTGCTTCATTCATATGGACGTGTGTTCTGAATAATTTCGGTATTGCTTCCAATGAGTGATATTCAGAGATATTCAAATCAATTAAATCCAAATTTTCAAATCCCCCGAGCTGAGTAAGTTTCTCGCAGTTTCGAACATTTATAGATCGCAACTTCTCACATCCCGTCAAATTTGGCAACATCTCCATTGATTTGCATCCCGTAAAATCCAACTCTTCTAAGAACTTCGCACCGTCAAGACCTCGAATTTCAACTAGATTTTTGCAATTGAAAGCCACTAATTTCTTCAAACACCATGATTTTGGACAGAGAAGCCTTTCAATGGAATTGCAGTCATATATAAATATGCCCTCCAAGAACTCCAAATTATCATTGCCCTGAATTTCAACTAGGCTATCACAACGCACAGCACGTAATTGTTTCAAACAAATTAATTGTGAAAGGTCCAATCTTTCAATTGAATTGCACTTTTTTATTGAAAACTTTTCCAAGTTCTTCAATCCGTCGAGCTTAAGCAATATCAGCTTACCACACTCCTCAACACAGAGTTTCAAGAGTCTTGAGGGAAGCTCGGGGATGTCTTCAAGTAGATGGCATGCCCAAAGATGGAGTTTTTCTAGGTGGATTAGGCTAGAAAGCTGTGGCAGCGACCGGTGCTTGCGACAGCCCCATAGGCAAAGGCGCTGGAGAGAAGAAAGATCCCCAATAGCACTAGGAAGCTTTTCAAGCCCAGAACGACTCAAGCTCAGGTGTTGCAAATTCTTTAAATCCCCAATTGAGCTAGGGATTTCTCTCAGTGACTTACAACGATAGGCACTCAGTGTCTTCAGCTTCCTCAGAGAACCAATAGACGTAGGGATCTCTGTAATACCAGAATCATCTAATACAAGTTCTTCTAAATCTTTTATTTCGCCCACTTCCTCTGGTAGCTCCTTGAGACTTTCACATTCATGCAAGTCCAAGGAAACGAGGCTCTTGAGTTTGCCAACAGAAGGGTGGAGATGCTCCAGTTTGGGACAACCTCTCAAGGTGAGGATCTTCAACTGCGTGAAAGCTGAGAGATCAGGAGTACATCTGAAACCATTACACCATCTAAGGTCGAGAACTAGTAGCCGCTTTGCCGTCTACACAAAAAGAGGAGAATAAAGCTGTCAAAAGAATGAGAGTGGGGGATCGGCTAAACAAAAACAAAACACCATCTTAAATCACGGAGGGAGGGAGGATGTCTCTTTTTTCCCCCCCAATCTTTACCATGAATGTACTCCATCCTTCCCAATCCTCTGTGATCGAGTTCTCTGATAATTCCAGCACCGATAATTTCAGTAGATTGGTTGTTAGAAGAGACAGATCGACTCCCGTGACCCACAAATGAAGCCATCTTATTTCAGAAACGAGTTCGTTGGAGTCTCCCCTTAAAGCTGCTCGCATCCAGTCATCGAACCAGGGTCCAGGACCAAAACTCCCAAACTGTATCAAATCAATCCGTAGAACATGTAAATTGACTTTTTAACTTTACATTTTTTGCTTCTTTTTTTAAATCTTGGATTTGCACGATTTGTTGTCATTCTATACTTCCCTTGTATATAAATATGGACACGTGAACTCACCTTTAAATTTTTTTTTCGACGGCCTTTTGAAATTTTTTTAAATAAAGAAAAAAAATATTTATTGCTTTAAAACAATTAAGGCAAATGCACCTCAATGTTTTATCTTTTGCTTTTTTTCAAATTTTGTAGCTTGTGCACTTTGACTTTTATCTAAGACGAAATACATGAAACCATTTTACAACATACAAATGTTTACATGTAAATTTTCATATGACTTGTGTATAATTTTTCAAAAGAATTTGTTAAAAAGTGTCAGTGGGCCACCTGTAAGTAGCTAAGAAGCACCCGGTTTTCATTTCATTAACTATTTTTGTGAAGTGTTTAATCATTTCTTTGGAATCCGAAACTTTTTTTTTTCTTTTATAGTATGTTTAAAAAGTGATGTGGTGACATTGGTTAGCAATACACGTTTTAGATTTTGCATGAGAATGAAGCCGTTTCTTTTGGCATCTTATAAGTCAAAACATGCTGTTTAACTTTCATGCTAAAACAGATCGTTTAATTAGTTGAAGACGGTGAAAAAAAATCCCATGTGGCTCTGATTGACTTTAAAAATAATACCTATATTTTCCCCCAAAAGTTCAATTGATTGGAATTGTTTTTTTGGTTGGTTTGATTCACTTTTACGATTTGACTCGTTTGTCGTTATCTCTACTTTATTTATTAAATAATGAAAAATCAACAATGGGTATAATTTCTCTTAAGTTTGTTCGTAGGAAAAGTCACCAAATTGTTGTAATCAGCATTCCACGCTATATTTCATTATTTTCGCTTGTTCATCAATCTATACAATATATTACATTAATAAATCTCTTATATGGAAAGGGGATATGAAACCTCAAACTTTCGTCAAAAGTTTCCACATAATTCGCATATTTTTCACCAATATGAACTAAAGTAATAGGATATAACATGATAGATAGAATCATATTTTAAATAGCCGAGACAATTGGAAATTAGTCCCATAAGTATTCCATTTCCAAAGTTAAATAAAAATTTCTTGCATCGCACAACCATTTAATTTTTTTTCCAACACTAATTATCATCTTTCAACATTTCTGTCTTTTCAAAACAAATTTGACTTTTATTTTTTATTTTTCAAACACCCATATGGTGTGCTCTTTTTGCTAATGTTAAAAAATTATTGGATCGACAAAAGAGTGTGATATCGAATCATGGGAACGAACTATTTCAAATTATATCAAGAATATAAAGCTGTTTCCATTGCCCAACATCTCTTGGTTCATTGCTAGGGTAATTCCTTGCTATTAATCAGTCATGAGCCTATGAGGTATCCCAAATGGATAATATATAATAATAAAATGACACAAATATTGATAATTTAAGGAAAAGAGAAACATAGTTGAAAAAATTGGATTATGCTGAAAATCATATATAATGAATACAAAGGTATGGATATAATAATATGCATGACATTTCCTCTAATTAGTCGAGTTTTCTTTTTCTTAATAGTCAAGTTAGTATAGCTGTTTCTGGCACGAAAGAGGCATTGTCCCAAAAAATATAAATAATACAAAACAACTTATAGCAGATAGAAATGTTTGTTATTAGAAAATCCACTCTTTATCACACTCCTTACCTAATCCATGAATTGAGCAAGGCCAACGGGATAAAACCTTAAAAAATAGCAAGATTTTCCTAAAAATATTTTTAAGGGGATGTTTGCTATCTTATCTATTAAGAGGAAAGAAGAATGAAAAGAGATAGAAATAACTAGTAGAGGGACGGGTATCTTCAATATCAAAATGGAGAAAAAAGTGTCAAACATTGGATTCCTAGATCACAGGACCACCACAATACAATACATTCGGCTGTACTAGATAGCAAGTGCATGTGATAAGTGTGAAAATTTTCCAATCTTATTGTTTTGAATTAATTACCAATTATTACAATAGGCACACACTATCTTTTTTTTACCAAGAAATGTTCATTTATTTGATCTATATGTTTATACTTCATCTCCATTCATTATTGTAGTCCTTCGGATTATCAATATTTTCAACTAGATATGACAATTATATGCTTTTGGTAAACGAGATTTATAGTGTTAAATTATAGTTACAGGATCTTGAATTGAATGTCAATCAAATTTTTATAGATGTCATTTATATCAATGAAATCAAATCAAATGATATAACTTTTTCATCCTTGAGATACTTATAATTTATTTTGCTATCACAATTAATCTACGATGGACCAAAAATGGATGTTTAAATATAATTTTTTTCCTAGAAAGAGCATCTTTTCATGCTTGATGAAATATTAGGATAGATCATATTAAATATATTAAAATAAGAGGGAGAGAAAAAGAAAGGAGTGCATATTTTACCCATCGATGTCCTAGTACTCTTGTGATTCCATTGTAGTCGCGGTCCCATGGCCCACTACGTTTCTCAAGCAGTTGTTCTTGGCAAAAAATACTCCTTCCAAGATCTATCAGTTGATCATGTATCATAAACTTACCATTATCTCCAATTTTAATTAAGCACCTCAACTTTAACTCTTCAATTCCTTGACTTGGATAAAACCCACAGTCCTCCCACATGTACATGGCATACTTGCGCGTTTCCTTACTGCTCTCTTCTCCAATAAAGAAACAAACAATATCAAGAAAAATATGTTTATGTCCATCTTCTAATGCATCGTAACTTATTCGCAATATCTTTTGGACATCTCTATGTGGTTGGCTTTTTAATTGCTTCTGCACATCTTCCCATACTTTTCGATTCGTTTTTTTATACAAGTATGAACCAACGACTTCAAGTGCCAAGGGAAGCCCACCCATGGTGGATATGATATCACGAGATACACCCTCAAAATCCCTCAAAGAATGGTCCGTACGAAATGCGTGTCTGTTAAACAGAAGCAAAGCATGCTCCTCATCCAATTCATTCAATTCATACTTGTAGACTACCTCGAATTCAGATTGATCAAGAACGGCTTCATTTCTAGTTGTAACAATGATGATACTTCCTGCCATAAACCAATTACACTCCCTAGCCAGTGCATCTAGTTGATCGTTGGCATCTATATCATCCAGAAGAATGAGGACCTTTTTTCCTTTGAATCTTGATTTGATTATATTAATTCCAACGTCAACATTCCAAACTTCAAGTTCGATTTGCAGAATTTCCTTAATTAGTTGCTTTTGTAAATAAGGAATACTGTTGCGGCAAGCTGTTTCTCGAATATCTGCAAGGAAGCTGCGATGCACAAAGTCATTCGACAGCCGGTTATAGATTACCTTGGCAAGTGTCGTTTTTCCGATCCCGCCCATGCCATAGATTCCAATCATTCGAGCATTAGTGGTAGGAGTGTCTACCCAATTCCTGATTTTGCTCACATGATCACCAATTCCAACTAAGCGCTTACTAACATCAAGATGAAAATCTTGTTGCAACTCGCTCAGAACCTTTTTCTTAACTTTTTCCACTAATTCTCCTTCATGCCTGTCCAACAACAAAACTCAATTGATAATTTCGTTATTATACTTAATCTCATCAAAAGACACCGACATACATGTGAAGGATGGATGGGGCCAATTAACATGCAAGATGTTTTGGTTTCACAAATAACAATGGGGGATGATAGCTAGTGGCCGTTTTATTTTTTTCTCTTTCGTTAGATGAATCTTGTTGGAATAGAATAAGACGGTGAACCTGGCTCGTTAAGAGTCTTTAGAAGTATAATATATGTTATAAGGCTTAAGATTGCTGCTAGTTGAATGATAGGAGATCGATTTTTTTTTATTAAAAAAAGTTTTGTATTAAAAAAAGTTTAGGAGAAAAGGAGGTTACTCCACTCTAAGGCTAGGGCAGCACACATGTCTAAATTGAGGACTTATAGTTGATTTACGGATCGCTACCAATGGGGTAAACTGATAGTGGAAATCAAACCTAGACATGGTAAATGTGAAGTAAGTGTTCGGTCCTTTTCAACTGAGCCGACTGTCATTGGCATGAGGAGGTCTATTGTATCTGGGGTTGATAAAGCTTTGGAAGATTGAGCAGTCGAGTCCTTTCTAAGCGTATTGTTTGGTGAATGATACTATTGACTGGAGGGGTTATCATTCCTTTGATTTTTTCTCCATTGGAAACCATTGTGATTCATATGTTTCGCGTGAACATGAAAACTCACTTATCAAAAAAGAAAAGTTCAGGCAGAAGCAAAGTACCCGTTAGCAACTTTCTCGGATTCCCATCCATGCAAGTCACTCACTTCTCTAAGTGCTCGCTGCCCTTCCTGAATATCCTTCTCATCAAAATGCTTTTTACGCGAATGGAATGCCTCCCCAAAACTTCCTTTTAAATACCGCACATCTGATGGGTCCACTTTGTAAAAGATGGGCAACACTATGTGTGATGTGCTCTTCTTGCGGTCCATGATATGAATGAGCTCACGGAGGCACCATTTGCTCGAAGCATAATTTTCAGAGATGATGGGGATCGAAATTTTAGACCGTGTGATGGCATCAAGAATCTCTAATCCAAAATCCTCACCAATTGGTATGCTGTTATCGTCCCTGAACACGCAAATCGGTACAGTCCCTGCCTTGATCAAACTATGGTAGAGGTGATCAGTGAATGCCTTGCGGGTATCCGAGCCTCTAAAGCTTAAGAACACGTCGTATTGACCGCTGCCTACATCTGTGGGTACCGGAGAGATGAATGAAGAAGTGGATGCTCCCTCAATGCTCTCTTCCTCTGCTCTCTTTCTCTGACTCTGCCCTTTGTCCATGGTGATCTCAGGGGGAAAGTTAAAACGAAAAGATGCTTTTCTGCTGCTTAAAAGGATTGATGAACAATGAAATATCCTTTTAGGATGCTTTTCTGCAAATGCTTGTTGGCTTGGTCCACTCTGGATAACGTGGACGTCAATTTCCCCCCTAGGCAATGCTGAAGAAGGTTCGTGTTCCTGAGAAAGGCCTTCAGTTGAGTTAGCTGACGTTGTTTCACTGCGGAATATTAGGTGGCCGTGAAGAGGCCCCCAAAAAGCCCCCATCATTTACTTCTTCAGAAACACATTTGAAATTAAACATATTGAAGTGTAATTAGTCGACTTCCTTAAAACACATTTGAACAACTACATAACTTTACGCACGTCTATCATATTTAAAGACAGATTCTTTCAGTTCACACCTAAGATATTCAAATTATGTACAAAATCCATGGAAGCATCTTCTTCTGAATATAAGCTCACACAATGCCTAATCCTTATCATAATCCGAGACCTTACTCTTATTATTTTTAGCCTAATATATAAACAACCCTAACTATCTCCACCGCCTCATTTTCACAACCCCTTCTGTCTAATCGCATTTCCATTGACCAAACTTATGTAGTGTCGTTTGATTGTTGCCCAATAAACCTCATCCTCTAGATGTGTGCACTTTCCTAATTGGAGGAAATTTTTATCAATCACGTTTTTAATTTGGCAGGATTCAAGTTTCAAGCATCGCTGATATGTAAAATTAAACTATTAATCGACGAAAAATTTTCAAATTACTCAGCTGTTTAAATTATGAAGGAAGTCGATGAAAATCATTCTAAATGAAAGGGAAATACTTCCTTTTGGGCCCACATTTTATTTCTTTCTAAAAGTGCATAGAAATGAGAGGTAATGCAAAAATTGCACTTTTCTTACAAAATTGGCCTTACTTCCTTTTAAAAGTGAATAAAATGAAGGATAATTAAGTCTATCAAAGAAATTAAGTTCCATTTACATCATTTCCACCCAACATGTATCCCAACATATATTGATTTTAACTTTCCCTCTCTTCTTTCGTGGTTTGCTTTTTTTTTTTTTCTTAATTTTTAGAATTTGAAATTTATGGCTTTAGTTTGTTTGAAATTTGGGGCTTTTTGTGTGATAAAATTTTATGACTCTTAAATAGGATTAATGTTAATACAAAAGGCTGCGTCTCACTAGTAATTAGAATATCACGGGGAGCAATGTTGCTCTTTGCTTTAGATGTAACGCAATGTGTTGTGTCTTTTTGCATGTACACAGGTTAGCATACTGCATGGTGTCATGTTGACATTTCATATGGTGACATGTTTAATAATCGCATTTGTCATGTTGTGTCATCTGACCTTCTTTATTAAAAGTGTCGTGTTTGTATTGTGGCAATTCAACGCGTTTACTAAACATTTCTTGTTCAGGTTTTGCCATATTTGTGTTATATCCTAACTCGACATGACACAATTAATATGACACGACATAAATTGTCAACTGTATCTTTAGTAACATGATCGCTCACAAAAACAACGAAAAAAAAAGAATGTCCAAAGTCTTTGAAATTTCATGATTCACTTGATTTTTTTTTGTTCTCTCTCTCTCTCTCTCTCTCTCTCTCTCTCTCTCTCTCTCTCTCTCTCTCTCTCTCTCTCTCTCTCTCTCTCCTATGTTCTTTTCTCTTTTTGTGTGAATGTTGCTTCTCTATTCGTTTCAGGTCGGTTGCTTCACTTCTTTTATGTTTTGGTTCAAATTTGGTGATTTAATATTTTAATTTTATTTAAAGTATTCTTAATGAAATTGGAAATGCGAGGTAGAGATGAACAAATGGTCGTTGTCATTTCTCTCTTATTTATTTCGTGCTGGCCCCACATGCCAATAATTTTAAATAGGACAAATTTATGATACCATGTTACCGAGCTGTTCACTTCAAACTTTCAAATTTAAATTATCGATTGATATATTGTCCACAAAATAGAGCTATAATTTGTTAAATGACACCAAATGAGCATGACACGTTAGTATTAAGTTACTAATGATATATGAAATACTTGTACACTATCCTTGAGTTCTTTTCCGGGCCATTTTTTTATTACAATTTTGTTGGCATATCATTCAGCTCTTGAAAAGTCAGTAAACCAATGAAAATAGAAGTATGCAAAATATTCAAAAAAATAAAAGATGATTTAGGCAAAAAAATAGAAAAGAAGGGAATGAAGTGCCTGGGCTTACTATTAGAGGTAACGTCCAAAAGGCTTTTGAATTATGAATTCATGACACATAGAAACCTTCTTGAACATGAATTGAAAGTGAAAAAAGGGAATGAAGTTGGAATGAAAGATGCTATTCTGCTGCATAAAAGGATCGACGAACTAATCTCTATGAACAAGTATGAACATGAATCTGTTACCAAGCAAGAAAAAATTGAACATGAAATCTTTAATTAATTAGTAATTGATTGACTAGGAGCAGTTGCAGATGTTTTTAGTCCTCGCCTTATCTTCTTTTGGACCTCACCCTATTCAAGTCAAACCTGTTGGCTTGATCCACTCACGAGTAACGTGTGCGTTTTTCAATTGGGCTATAAGAATATGTGTACAAGTATATTGCGTTCAATTAAAAATTTAAAGCATACGTCCGGTTGCTTATTTGGTTATTGAAAATTGGAATTCGATAAATCACTTAAAAGATAATGATTGAGTTGAAACAGAATTAGAAACGTGTGAAAGACGTCGAGAGAGGACCGAGCTAGTAATTGTGGATGTGATTTTATATTCTTATTTTGTTTAAAATTGCCATATTCTTAATGAAGTTGGAAATGTGAGGTAGAGATAAACAAAATGCCCATGGTTATTTATCTTTTATCTATTCCATGCCGGCACCACATGGTACAATTCCATGTAAAATGAATTTATTTTGAACTGGTATTTAATCACTAAGCCTTTCGTTTCAAATTTTCAAATCTAAAAAGTTGATTGATATTTTATCTGTAAAAGGAAGCTGCTAAGGAAAATTCAGAGACGACCAAGGTTTGAAACAATGGCATCGAGTGCTTGTCCCCATTTTTGTTGGAGTGCCCACCTTGAGAATACCACCGCAAAGATTCTTTATCCAATTAAATGGAAGTAGAATAGGATTATCAGCTAAATTCGTGATAAGTCAGGTTAAAATTGATAAATCACATTTGGAAGAACGAATTTATTGTTTGTAACAAAAGAGGTGTAAGAAATGAGTGATGTAAAGCTAGGTGAATCTCCTAATATGCATGTATGGCTCGATTTATTTGATTGTTTTCATGTGTGTCATAAGATCAACTAGGTTTTTTTTTTCTTACTATTGGATATCATGTAAAAGGTCTTAAGAAGTATCATGCTATGGATTTTGGTATGTTTTATATTGTGATGATTGAAACTATAATGAGTTGAGAGCAGGTAAAAAGTAGCAATATAGTTAAAATGCTTAAACTTTCACCGTACGTCTTAAGTTTTTTTTTCTTACTATTGGAGAAAATGAGTTTTTTCTTTTTCTCTTTTTTTTACTAAAGAAGGGAGAAAATGAGTTAGAGGTGAAAGGGAATATACTTTCTACAATTAATGGCCCAACAATTCAAGGAAAACATAATATTTCTCATTTGGAATTTTTTATAGGGAGGTAAAATTGTCGAATGAAATCTCCTTAAGAGAAGTCTTACTCTTAGGATGATCAGTTTCAGAATGAGTAGGTCTTAAACAAAGCATCAAGAACTTATCATGTAATAATTGGTGCTCTGTGTTTGTAACCGAGAACCAAACTAGTTGACCCTCAAACCAGCCTACTTTTATTTTTCTGATTTATTTTTCTATAAATTAATCTAGGACCTTCAAACACAAAGAAACCTCACAACGCATAAAAAATAATGGTCTCTGGATTCAAGCGAAATGTGGCAATTTTGCGCGCAATAGAATCTAGTGCACTTGCAGACCTCCTCGTTCTAGTTCAACAAAAGATCAAATACTGAATTACGATGCAACTAACAATCAGCCAGCAAGGCCATCATAGGATTAGCCACATCTAAAGTCGAAAACAAAGGGCTTTCTTTTTGCACCGAAGTAAAATCTGAGCTGGGGACATACCTCGTTAACAGGCAACAACGGCTCCAAAAGAGAGAATAGAAGACCCTCCTCTGCTATTCAGTGGCCACCCCGACATCCCCAATAGACAAAAAGGTCCCAGAACACACTTAGTTAAGCCGATTATTCCGATAACAAAGCGACAGAATCAACAGAAATGACACGCTAGAAAGGGATGAAAAAGTGATTACCTCCTGCGAGCTGAGATGCGAAGAGAGGCGCGAGATCGGGGAGAGAAGACCCTGAACAAGCCTGGGCAAGAACTTTCAAGGGGGAAAAGAACAGAGAAAGCGAGTGAGGAATAATCAGTAGACGATAGTCTCGAATGCTTTATGCAAGAGAGAGGCCGAATGTGAAAGATAAAGTGAGAAATGAGAGAGAGAGAGAGAGAGAGAGAGAGAGAGACCAATCAGTAGAAGACGATAAGTCTCGCATTATTATTGACGGACAGGTATCCCTATTGCTGATTGACTGGTAGCGATGAAGTCATTTTCAGATGGCAAGCCAAAGTCAAGCCACACAATTTGGACCATAGTACGGAATGACCACTTCTGTTCATATCCCCACTTTAAAAATCATTTTGTTAAACAGATAAATGTGGCTCTAACCGGCTTGTGAATCTTCCATTATATATTATCAAAGACGTTCTTTTTTTTTTTTGATAACCATTATCAAAGACGTTCTTACTTCCTGTAAAAAGCTACTTTCTCCTCCCCTACCCTAAACATGCATAAATCATATTGCCAAATCCATCATAGGTCAGTAATTTTCCACGCTATATATACACGTAAAAGTCACGTCTTTGCTATAAGCAGTAAAATCGCATGAAAACCACGCTTTGTGACGAGTTTCTCTAGTACAATCTATAAAGATAAAGTCCACCTAAAAATTATCTACGTATTAAATATGTGCAAGTGCATTGAAACCAGCAGCTTTGCTCACTTTCAAGTTTTCCATTGTAACCAGCATAAAAAAAAGTACAATTGTTAATTTTTCATAATATCCAGAAAAACATTTTAATTTTCTGTCATTTTCCAGAAATTACAAAAAATTGCCAATATAATGGAAAATGGTTTTATGGACATCCAATAATTCTCTAGTCGATATGATATGTTCAGATAATTTTTTTTTGTTGACAATTCTGATCCGTAGCCTTTGAAAGGTTTTGTGCGATTATTGAAGAGACTAGACCAGCGCGATCAGTATTTGGAAAAATCTAGTTTTTAACTGTTTTCAAGAAAAAAAAAAGAATTTTCTCTGCAAAAATCGAGTATTTGGATGTTTCAGGGTTTAAATAATTTTGGACAATTGGTGTACGTATAGGGCCAATGGACCCAAAATCGGGATAAGGGCCGGCATGCAATTCCACCAGATTCAACTGATCTAACCATTCATAACCAATTAGTTTAAATGAGAAGATTGTAGTGAGAAAAATTAGCAATATATGTGATGATAATCTTGAAAAAGTTGAGGGAATATCACATGTAAGATGTTATGTGTTATGTGACAATAATCAAATGCTTTTTGGTCCTAATATATGTGATGATAATCTTGAAAAAGTCGAGGGAATATCACATGTAAGATGTTATGTGTTATGTGATGAGTAATAATCAAATGCTTTTTGGTCCTACCAATGGTAATAGACTGGAGAATGAAGGTCAGGCTTACCTTGAGGAGCGATGTAGAGATGAAATTAATGTGATAGATTTCAGTGTTTGAGAAGAAGTTGCCTTGAAGCAGATCAAGTTGTGTCCGAGTCTCGAAAGGTAGTGCAATATGAGGATCACACCTTCACGCCTTAACCCGGAGCTATCAAAACCAGATATATCTCGGAGCAAAAACGAGCGTCTCAGTGATTTATGGTGATGGCCGTTTCTCCTCTTCAAGCACGAGCACTTGGGACTTTAAATAAAGCTTTTACTTCTTCTCTTGCCCCAGAGGAGACGCGCAATCTTGTGGTGGATGGCGTTTCTTTGACGAGACAATTGTACTTCCTTTTAATTCTAACATTTTGACCAAGACCACCAAAACAATCCCTTCCTCGAAATTGGCAAGACGACCCCTCTGTAGACTTTACTTGTTAGTTCTTTCTGTTATCGGATCCCGTGGCCAAGCAAATCACAGTGGAAATTAACTTTTTTACATGATGCTATTCCTTAAGAGCCACGGAATTATCTCCTTAGTAACTTTTGCAAGGTGTTCATATCGAGAATTACCTCTTCTCTTACCTCAAAAGATGAGCCAGATGTGCCTTGGGATAAACACAATCCTACCGTGTATTTGCGCGTCTTTGATGAGGAAATTTTACTTCTTTAACTGACGGACCCTCACCTTTTGTTAATTCTCTTTGTCATGGGATCACATGGCCGCGCAAATCAAAGCGAAGATGGACAACATTTTGCTTTCCCTGCCCATTGAAATGAAAGCCTCTCACCCTGGAGGCGTTGAAATGGTCAAAAATCTACTTTCCCTTCAAATTTTTAAAAAATACGTTGTTATGAATTTAAAGTAACAAAATTTAATTCAATATATATTTTAATGAGTCTGAACCATATCTATTTGCTATTCATATATGAATTAGCACGTGGAGCCCACACTATGTGGTGCGACAACTGCATGATCTTTTTCTTCACTTGCCTATTGCTTTGACCAACGATGGAGTGACACGCCATTCATTCCCTACTCATTACATACGGTTAAATCTAGTGGGACTCATGTGAAACTTATATGGGTCCCATCATTTTCAGTTTTACAAACATGATCTTTCTCATGATATCAATACGACGACATCAATTAGGGTCAATTCAGCCAAACCTCCTCCATACACTTACGAATGTAAGGAATTAGACTGATATCGTGTGCTTAATCTGCACACACAAATTTTCATCTTACATATTAAGGGATCAAAGTTATGGTGAAGTATAAGGGAATGAAGAAAGCATGGGAAAAATACCGAAAAAGTCCTAAATCAATTGCACATGTGCCAATTCAGTCATAAACCTTTCAATTTGACCAATTTAGTCCTAAACCTTTTGACAATTTGCCAATGTAGTCCATCCGGCCAATTTTGATATGTTTAGGTTGCTTTGGATGGTGGTTTTTCTTGGTTATTAGCCAAATTGCATCCTAATGGGCGCTTAAATGTCAAAATTACTCACTTTCCATTGGCTTATCACATCGCGTGATACAACTATCACATAAAATACCTTTTATTCTACCACATCATCTTTCTCTCTTCTTTGTCATGGCCCGACTCGAAAATAGAGGTGCCTTGCTCAAAGCTGTAATGACGCTTGACTAGATCTTGTGTCGCGTTTGAGTAATTCTGGCATGCATCGAGCTAGACGCAGCGTTGGAGCTCGATTAGATTTGATGTTGAGCCCAACACAACGATTGGTTGTCATTGAGGACTCATCACTCAAGAACAAATATGTTGGTGCAACAGTCAACCACGATGCTAAATTGGATCAATGAGATATTTCTCTTTACATAGCATGCTCATGCTAGTATCTGCATTTTGCAAAAGAAATCATTATCATGAAAAAAGGACTATTTGGAAGATGCTATATCATTTTTTCCACGAAACTGAGTTAATTACCTTTTAGAAAATGGACTGGCGAGGAAAAGCAAGTCAAAGTCTTCCACCATCTTGCTTGCTTAGCTGCAAAGAAAGCAATAAGGGCAAAAACCGACAAGACCTACTCAAAAGAAAAGGGAGGAAAAAAGATTCTCGCCATTGGAAACAACTCAAAGTCTTCCAACAATATGCTTGTTTAGTTGCATTGTAAGAAGAGAGACCATTATTCATTGTGAAAATATTATCTAAATTTAATTTATAAATGAAACGACGGAGAAAATCAATTACAATATAATAATTGTATTGAAATTTGTGTTTCGTGGTGGAACTTTGTATGGGGTTTGCACGATTTCTCTTAGGTGTTTTAATAAAATCTAGATGTCCGACAATGCTACGTAAATACATTATACATCAAAATTGTCAGTTTGCTTATTGACGCTAAATAACTCATATTGATCTAATAGCATACGTGGTAATGTTATTGTTTAATAATTATACTCTTTCTCCTTTAAAATAGATATAGGATTGGATAGAACCAAAAAAAAAAACCTATCTCTTTTAACAAGAGTGAAAAAAAAGGCACCCATGTTGATAAATAAGAGGGAACGAGGGACCGAATATAAAGTTCAAGTACCCCAATTGGAGGGGCTAGACAACAAATAAGAGGAACCCGAGGGACTGATTCCGAAGTTTCTTTTTCCGGGGTGGGTGGAGGTGGAGCCAAAAAAAAGAAAGCTCTCTCGGTCTCCTCGCTCTCCACTCCCTCCCTCCCTCCTTCCCCTCGCATTCTTGTAGTCTTTCTCCGAGCCGTTTTCAAAACCCCACCGGCGACAACAGGTACTGCAGCCACTTCATTCCTCTGATTTTTAATGGCGGATTTCATTGTCTCTCGGATTTCTCTTTGATGTTCTTTTGGGTCGACATGCCCGCACGGCTGTTAATTTTTGTGCTATTTTTGTGGGGTGGGGGGCGATCGCCAATTGCGTTCTCGGACATTCCGAGCTCTATTTTCCTTTTGATCAACTTATCCTCTTGTGGCCACATGAACCCTCTAGTCAAGTCAAGTTTGTTGGCTTGGTCCACTCCAAATAACGTGTACCTTAATTTCTCCCATTGGAAATGCTGCAGTAGGTTTGTGCTCTCTTGCGAGAGAGAGAGAGAGAGAGAGAGAGAGAGAGAGAGAGAGAGAGAGAGAGAGAGAGAGAGAGAGAGTCACTTCAGTTGAATTTACCCACGTCGTTTCATTGCGAAAGATTATGGGATGAGCCGTAAAGAGGCCCCCAAAAAGCCCACATCATTTACTTATTCAGAAAGTCAATCATTTATTTCTGAAGATTACCGATTCTTCCGATTCACACCTAAGATGTTGAATCCATCAAGAACTTTCAAATTATGTAGGGAACTCCATGGAAGGAGTGTCTTCCTCTTTGAATATAAGGTCACACGTTGCAAAATCCTTACCGTGATCTTTGGACCTTACTCTTAATTCTTTTGAGCCTAATAAATAAACAAACCTAATTATCTCCAACTCCTCATTTTCGCCGACTTGTTTGTCTAATCCCATTTTCAATGGCCAAACTAATGTCATGTCGCCTATTTATTGCCCGATGGACCTCGCTCTCTGGGTGCACGTGGTTTCCTAGTTGGAGGAAATTTCTGTCAATTGTGTCTTTGATTGTTGTTTTGGAAGTTCTATAAATCGCTCACATGTAGTATTGACAAAAGTTAAAATAGGCGGTGACCATATATTGTGAGACATTCTTGAGTGCACGTGAGCCCAATGTATCCCGACTCTTAGATCGTGTCGGTTTCATGTGGCACCACCAATATCGAGGGCTCAAATGCAATGGGCTCACATGCACCCGAATTGTCTAAGAGCTTTTCCATATTTGGTTCAATCAATAGTCATTGCCTTTGATCGGTGGTTCAATGTAAGTATCTATTTGAAATCACATGCATATACTTTATTTCTACCTTCATCGAGCGCCGATTATTGAGGTTTTGTTTGTTTCGCGGAAAATATATGATTTGGAAAATATTTTCCAAAATATGATTGCTTATATTGC